CTCTCTTTTGTAATTCTTTGTTTTTTGGTGCACTTTTGAAATGAACAAGGGCTCTGTATTTATAGGAGAATCTACTCCTAATGATGTCACCAGTGACATCACAAAAAACACAAAATTTCAACCTTTTCACCTATGTAGAAATCTTGCGAAGATTTTAGTTTAAAAAAGAAATGGTGAGCTTTGAATTTTGTTGCAGCATTTGTTGACTTAAACAATAAGCAACAAAAAAATTCAACCATTTCTCTATGTTAACTTTCCTTATGTTTATCTACAACGGGTAAGGACTCCACAAATCTCCCCCTCCATACCCATTCACCTGAAGGAGGTAGCTCTAGGTTTCTAGCTTGAGTACATGCCGACAAGTTCTTTGCATAGTTCAAACTTGTCCCTTGATACCACCTTGGTCAGCATATCTGAAGGGTTTTCACTAGTAGGGATCTTCATGACCTGCATAGATCCATCCTCTATCTTTTCACAAATCCAGTGATACCTCACGTCAATATGCTTTCATGGTACATGGTGTTCTTGCTCAAGTCTATTGCACTCTGACAGTCACAATAGATGACATACTCCTTCTGATGCAATCCAAGTTCTTGGAGAAATCGTTTCAGCCATACCATCTCTTTGCCAGCTTCAGTAGATGCAATATATTTTGCCTCAGCTGTAGAGAGTGCGACACACTTCTGCAACTTTGACTGCCATGATATAGCTCCCCCTGAAAATATAAACAAATATCCAGTAGTGGATTTTCTATTATCGAGGTCACCTGCCATATCACCATGCGTATAGCCCTTCAAGATTGGATCAGATCCTTTAAAACACAAGCAATCTCTTGTGGTACCTCTTAGATACCTGAGTATCCACTTAATTGCCTCCCAGTGTTCTTTTCCAGGATTTTCAAGGAATCTTCCAACAACACCAACTGAATGAGCAATATCAGGTCTTGTACACACCATCGCATACATCAAACTCCCCACTGCTGAAGAATAAGGAACTTTAGTCATTCCCTCTTTCTCCTCTTTTGTTGTAGGACACATCTGTTTGCTCAACTTGAGATGACTCGCAAGAGGCATGCTAACAGCTTTAGAACTCTTCATTTTGAAGAGTTTTACTACACGTTCAATGTACTTCTCTTGAGATAGCCACAACTTTCTTTTTGTTCGTTCTCGAACAATCTTCATCCCTAGAATTTGTTGTGCTGGGCCCAAGTCTTTCATGTCAAATGACTTGGACAAATCTTTCTTAAACTTTGCAATCAGCTCTTTGTCTTGTCCTACAATTAACATGTTATCCACATATAACAACAAAATAATAAAATTGTTGTCACAAAATCTTTTGAAGTATACACATGGATCAGAATAGGTCTTTGTGTACGTTTGACTTTTCATGAAAGAGTCAAACTTTTTGTACCATTGCCTTGGGGCCTGTTTCAACCCATAAAGACTCTTATTCAATTTGCACACCATGTGTTTCTGTCCAGATACTTCAAATCCCTCTGGTTGCTCCATACATATCTCTTCTTCCAAATCTCCGTGAAGAAATGCAGTTTTCACGTCCAATTGTGCCACTTCAAGATCTAGACTAGCTTCTATGCTCAAAATAGCTCGAATAGAAGCCATTTTGACAACAAGTGAAAATATTTCATCAAAATCAATACCTTTCTTTTTTTCGAAGCCTTTTCTACCAATCGAGCTTTGTATCTCACCAACTTGCCATTTCCATCTTTCTTGAGTTTAAAGACCCACTTGCACTTAAGTGGTCTTTTTCCTTTTGGAAGTTCAACTAGCTGGTATGTGCCATTTTTTTTTGTAGAGATCCATCTCTTCGTGCATGGCTTTCATCCATTGGCTCTTTTCTGGATGAGACAAAACCTCCTTAAGACTTTCTGGCTCGCCTTCATCGTTGATAAGGACATACTCTTAGGAAGGGTATTTGGTTGATTCTACCCTTTGTCTTTCTGATCTCCTCAGAGTTTGAGATTGTTCTTCTTCTTCTGGGTACTCCATTTGCTCGGTATTATCACCAAGTTGCTCCCCCTGCTCAATAATCTCATCAGGTTGCTCATCATGCTCAGCAACTACATCAATCGTACTTTCTGTACTTATGGGATGGTTAAAAGAAGAAGGAATGGTAACAAGATTAGGGACTATACCATTCTTTTCCTTGGCCTTCTCGGATAGATCATCAGCAGTTCCAACTTCACTTACTCGAAAGATTACATCTCTACTTCTGATGACCTTCTTCTTTACAAGATCCCATAGTCTGTACCGAATTCTTCATCTCCATATTCGATGAATATGCAGGGAACTGATTTATCATCTAGCTTGGTTCTTTGCTCCTTCGATACATGTACAAAAGCTTTGCAACCAAACACCTTTAAAAGCGAGTAAGACATCTCTTTGCTGGTCCAAACTATCTCCGGAATGTCAAACTCCAATGGAACTGATGGACTACGATTGATAAGATAACACGTTGTCTGAACTACTTCACCCCAGAATGTCTTTGGTAATTTAGCCATTCTGAGCATACTTCTCAACTTTTCAACAATGGTGCGATTCATTCTCTCAGCTACACCATTGTGTTATGGGGTTCCAGGAACTGTCTTATCATGTCTGATTCCATGGTTTGAACAGTACTCTTCAAATTCTCTTGAAGTGTACTCACCTCCATTGTCGGTTCGGAGACGTTTTAGCTTTTGACCCGTCTCTCTTTCTATCAGAGCATGAAACTTTTGAAATACTAGAAACACCTGATCTTTTGTTCTCAAGATATAAACCCACAATTTTCGAGAAGCGTCATCAATAAAGGTAACGAAGTATTCATTACCTCCTATCGATTCTATCTCCATTAGACCACAAACATCAGAATATACCAAATCAAGTATATTCGACTTTCTTTCAGATGATGTCTTAAATGAGACTCTATGTTGCTTACCAAATAAGCAGTAGTTACACGATTTTATCGTTGTACTTTTGGCAAAAGAGATGAGTGACTTTCTGGAAAGAATTTGCAATCCTTTCTCGCTCATATGACCCATTATTTTATGCCATAAATCTGCAAAATTTTCTTCTTGAATCGCATTTAATTCACCTTGGCATATTTCTGCATTTGTTCTGTATAACGTGCCACGAGCAACTCCTTTTGCAATCATCAATGCCCCTTTGGTGAGTGTCCATTTTTTATTTGCAAAGTAGTTCTCATATCCATCTTGGTCCAAAGCAATTCCCGAGATCAAGTTCATCCGCAAATCAGGTAGGTGTTGCATATTTTTCAACACTATTGTGCATCCAACATTTATTTTTAAGCAAATATCTCCGATCCTTGCAATCTTTGAATAACTTATGTTACCTATTTTCACATTGTCATAATCACCGGCTACATATCTGCAAAAAAGATCTCTTACCGATGTGGCATGATAAGTTGTTGTTGTGTCGACCACCTATTCCGACTCTATACCTGCCAAGTGCATGCATTCTTCTTCCTCATTTATGAGGAGAACAACATTGTCATTATTTTGCACCATGGCAGCTGTGTTGTCATCATTCTTCTGGCCGCTGCATTCCCCTTTGCCCCTTTTTAGATTTGGACAATCTCTTTTGAAGTGTCCTGATTGATCGCAATTGTAGCAATTTCTGGCCTTCGATTTAGATCGGACCTTGGACTTTTTACGAGCTCCGGATCTACCATAGTTACTTGAGCTTCTTTGGTAACTTCTGCCTCTACTTTCCGTGATGAGAGCCTGTCCCTGATTTTCAGGCCTTTTTCTCATCTTATCATTAAGCAAAAGGGCTGATGTGACATCCTTCAACTCAATAGAGTCCTTACCATGTAAAATGGTTGTTGCTAAAGTATCGTAGGAAGATGGCAACGAGTTTAGGAGCATTATGACTTTATCTTCATCCTAAATCTTTACTCCGAGGTTTGCTAGTTGCGTGATTAGTCCATTAAGTACATTTAAATGAGACAAAAAATTGTACCTTCACCCATTTGTAGCGTATATAACTGCTTCTTTAGGTACAATTTATTTGTCAGCGTTTTGGACATGCATAAATTTTCTAACTTTGTCCAAATGCCACCTACACTCTCTTCATCGATGATGTTATTAACTACATCATCTGTTAAGTGCAATTTGATTGCATTAGCAGCCTTTTCATCCATTTCTTCCCAATCCTCAAGTTTCATGGATTTGGACTTTTTGGATTTGCCGCCTAGTGCCATGTGTAAACACTGTTGGATGAGTAAGTCTTTCATCCTTCTCTGCCACTTTGAGTAACCGCTATCACCGTTGAATTTTGCTACCTCGTACTTTACTCCAGACATTTTTTTTATATTGAGTATAGTACAATAAGCTGCAAAAAATATTTCTGTAAATAAGCAGAACCTGTGCTCTGATAACAATTGTCGGAATAAATTCGTAACAGAAATAATATCTGCGGTAATAAAAGCAATAAATGCGGAACACAACAATGCGGTTAATCAACAAGAATAAAAGAGATATAATGACACCAAGATTTTACGTGGAAACCCTCCTAAATAAGAAAAAAACAACGACCCGAGAGGAGTAACGAATATCACTATAGTAAGGATTTTACACTTGTATGTCTGAGTAAAACTCCAAAGACCAGTACACATTCAAAAGATATAACACTCTTTTGAATTTTCCACCTCACTACAATATCGCTCACACTCTCTATTTTTCCTCACAAATTATTTTCCTTTGTGATGCCTCACTCTTCTTTCTCTCCTTTCTAATTCTTTTTTTTGTGCATTTTTTATATGAGCAAGGGATCTATATTTATAGGAAAAAATACTCCTAATGATGTCACCAGTGACATCACAAAAAGCACAAAATTTCAACCTTTTCATCTATGTAGAAATCTTGCTAAGATTTTAGTTGAAAAAATAAATGGTGAGCTTTGAATTTTGTTGCAGCATTTGATGACTTTAATAATAAGCAACAAAAAAAATTCAACCATTTCTGCATGTTAACTTTCCTTATGTTTATCTACAATGGGTATGGACTCCACATTATGGCCCATGGTGTTATCAATAAATCATCCAAAGATCTGATCATATTTATACATTTGAAATTTCCAGTAAAATCTATCAAAAGATTCAACTGTATCTTTTTCAAAGTTATACAATCATCTACTTTCGTCAATCTTTATCTAAATCGTACCACAACAACCCAAGAAGAATTTATCATGTACAAGCGCTCCAATGAAGAATAAGCTAATCAATATAAAACAATCTTCTTATTTCTTTACGAAGACGATGATAATCGTATTATCCACATCTTCTCAAATATCAATGTGCCATATCTCACCTCCACTCGTAGTAGGAATTATGATTAGCTCATTGGTCCTTCTCGTGGTTTAATTGCTTTAGTCAGTAACACTACCGTCGTCTTATTTAATCCAGCTACAAGAACTTACAAGGTTCTACCTCCTAGTCCTTTTGGTAGTCTACCAGGTTTTCGTTGTTGTATTGAAGGTGTTGGCTTTGGGTTCGATCAAATTAATAATGATTACAAGGTTATTAAGATTATTGAAGTGTATACGGATCCATCATACAGAGATACTGACGCGAGGAACAGAAAAAATTGAGGTGTATGATGTGTGTATCGATACTTGGAGAGAATCGAATCATGTAGATCAACAGTTTCCTCGATGTACTATTTACCTTGTCAAATATTTTATAAGGATTCTTGTCATTGGTTCTGCAATTCTAAATACAGAAGACATTGTTTCAATTCTCTGTTTTGATATCAAAACAAAGGTATTTCTTGTCATGAAAATGCCTGATAATTATTATTTCTTTGGGAGAATGTGTTATGCTCTCTTGATTTTAAGTGAGTATCAAACATTGATTTCATATCCGGATTCAAAATCAGATCTTGATCCAAAACAAGATTTGATGGATATTTGGATAATGAGGGAATATGGTGTGTAGAAGTCTTGGTTTAAGAAACACACAATTGGACGTCTTCCTATTGAATCTCCATTAGGTGGTTGGAAGCATAACTTATTGATTTTTCAGAGTACAACCGGTTATCTGATGTTCTATGATCTGAATTCTGGAAAAACGCGGGAATTTAGTTTAGGTGGTTCTCCGAGAAGCTTGAGAGTTTCTTCTTACCAGGAAAACTTGAATTCTATTTCGGGAGGAAGTGAACTTGGTAACCTAGTTCAAAAATTCTAGAGAAGGTGTAGTTGAGTTTTGCCAAATTCGCACATTATTAACAATATTCTGCCATGCCAACTTCCTCGAATACATATATTGCTTTATTTTCTAGATAATGTTGGAGTAATTTTATCGGGAAAAAAAAGACTTTTATTTTAACTGAAGAGTCATCAAATATTGAATATTAACATATCAAGTGTAAGCTTATAAATAAAATAGAACAAACAATAAAAGTCACTGCAGAAGATCCAAGTCTCTTGGTAAAATGACATCTCTAAACAACTCCAGAGCTCTCATAACACGCTAAGAACCAAAACTAGAGAAGTGTTCTTGAGGTTGAAATACATTATGCAATCAAAGGGATTATTACTAAACTTTAGCATATAATTAAAAAAATATCAAAATGCTCACATAACCTCATAGAACAAACAACGTTGATATGTTGACTACAACTTGTTGATTCATGAACCTCAAGAAATGTTTCCAGTTGGTCTCTACACTACCATTTTCAAGAAATGAGGTTTCCATGTGTTGTTCTGTAGTTTAGCAAATGAAATCTTTAAACATACATTGGTTTTGATAGTAATCTTGTTGAACAAAGTTCCTTACAAAACTCCATTTTCTCCATAACATAGCAAATGGAGCTACTCAAGTGCTAAAACCTTTGCTAATTAACTATATGTGGCCTTATCTTGAACACTGGAATATTTTTGGACTACGAAGAAAGTTCATATCTGCATAAAAAATCTCAAAAATATCCAGGAAATACATTAGGACGTGGCACTCCATCCAATACTTATGTATCTTAACATAAAACCTACATGGTTACTAATAATAGATTCAGAAAGAAGGTGAAACCACTAATTAAAATATGTTAAAAGACATTCAAGTCAAGTTAGGAACATCCCACTTCCCTTATCCTGTTGAAACTGGAAGCAGCAGCAGAACTAAAACCTCCATTAATGGAGTTTGAGTTTAGTGAAGAAGCATAGAACATTCTAGAGAGGAGATGAAATGAAAAACATGTGAATTGTATTTCACTAAAACTAATATGAGCTTTACATTAACCTCTATATATACATGTATGAAAAGCATGAAAATGACTAACTACTTTTCTGTAACAACTTAACTAACTAACTTCCAACTAACTTTTCTAATTACTTAATTCTAACATGTTCTATTGGTATGTAGTGATGCATATTACTTCATTGTTTTTCCAGAATTATATAATGTGCTGTTGAATGAATATCAAGTTGACAACATGAAAGTCTAGGTGGATAGACTTCACTTGACTACAGCTCTTCCTTAGGAATTTGATTATGAGTCCAAGAAAAGGTAGTCACCGATATTTTGACAATGAGTTGGAAGGAAAAATCATGTTAATCACTTCAGGTCATGATACTGTCTGGTCTTTTGTTGGTTCTCACAGAGTAACTCAGTTGCCGGTTGTCCTATATGAACCATTCAAGAAGTTGTTTACCATCACAGCTTCTCTACATAAATGATTTATTTAGATAATTATGTGTTATTGTAAATGAGTTAATCCGACACTGAGAAAAACTCTACATCATTAGTGTGTCGTACCCAATGTAATCCACAAGTGAGGCCCAAGGAAGGGTAGGATGTACACAAATCTTATCCCTACCTTTGTAGGATAATTAAAGAAAGTTGTTTCCGATATATAACTAGAGCATTAAAGTAAAATCCTTTTGGTTTCTGATAATTTTCATAAGGTTGTGAAAGAATGTAGCAAGTCAATCTTACACCTTACCTTAAGACAGACTAAGCTACAAGACTGTGCAGGTTTACTAAAAGTTGATCGTATCATAATACATTTAATGGAATCTTTTTCTAACATCACCAAATCCATCCTTTCTCCTTTCATCTACTTTGTACCCATTCACAATTACCCTTCGGACCCTTTAGATTTAGAAGGAAAAAAATCTTATGGATATATCTACACAGTTTTCACCATCACTTAGCAACAAGGTTGATTCCACCATTATATATATACATTTTAAGCTCCTGTTTCGTCAGTTTGTGATTTTTGAAACTTGAAGTTGTGTTTTGCGCACAGTGAATCTATATAAATGCAACAAGTTGTCATATTCAAATTTATAAGCTTAATGATTTATATTTCAAAATACTAACAGATCAACTAAACAAGTAGAAGAATAAGATTAGAGAAAGCTAGGTTATGGTTAAGAGGCTCTTTTTATAAGTGTTACAAGTAAAACTTCCTGAGCCATGTGGACATTGGATATGTTTGCCAATCTGTGTTATGAAAATCAGAAATTACTGGTTGTAATAAATCATTCAGAAACACGAAGTAACTGAGATTTTTAGAACCAGTAAGTAAGATGAACAGAAATTTATTTGTAAAAAAATAATTAAATCTGTAAAAACTTACCAGAATCTGGAATACTCTTTTTAATAATTTTGGAAGAAAATCAAGTCCACTGAATTCACAGTGTCCCCTTAAGAAAATTATTCCCCTCTAGTATCTGAGGTTTGATTTGGAATATAACCTCCCAGGTAAAATGATCTTAATTAGTAGAGTATAGATACCAAAAACTCTACTGTCAGCGAATCAATCCACAGCAAGAAAGTACACGAAGAAATATGTGTTTTTAAGAAGAAGGAAGATCAGAAAATTTGTAAGTGAATATTCTGAAGACTGAATGGTATTTATAGGCAAGAAGAATAAATTCTGAAAGGTTGCAACCCTTTCAGAATTGACACGACCATTAATGAAAGGTTGCAAACTTTCAAATGGTATTGACTGTTACTGAAAGTTGCAACCTTTCAGAATAGTCATGGAGGGAATATTTTTTAAGACGGGTCACGCGCGCGGATCCGAGTCGTGTCGGGTTAAATAAATAGTTGAAAACATTTTGTTTAACTTCTGTTATCAACTAATTAAGTGAAAATAATTTTTGGCCAAAATAAATTTGTCCAAAAAATTATCTCTCGATCGATCATTTGCCAAAGCCGAAGCGAGCGAGTGACGACGGCGCGAGGGGGTTCCCTCTTTCCAACCCTTTTAGCAATTACTAGGAGTGTTTATTTATTTAAACTCTCCTATTTTCATTTCCATTACCGATGAGGGACAATTTCCTTTATCATTAAAGCATTAGAGGACTTTTCAAGTTCTCAACCTTTCAAGTTCTAAACTTTTCAAATTCCTTTCCTTCTCTCTATTTCCCATCAATTCTTGCTACATACCCAAAAATACCACCCAACAATCCCCCACATTGATGGGGAATAGTTATAACGTAGGAATGCACGGACAATTGTGTACTTTACAAGCAAGGATTAGTTGCATCTGGACAAGTAGGTTTCCCCTTGGCTTTCCGTAGTGAACATATGTCAAATATACTCGGTCAATTGGTAGATGTGATGTCTTTGAACCGTCGAACTTTGGTGTATACCTAGACAACCATATGTCACACAATTAACCCTTTACTGTTTATGATTCTTACGGTTGTGTTTGTTTCAGCCATGAACACCTCCTGGTTTCATATGTGTATACAGAATCGGCTTTTGACATAAAATTCTCTTTGAAGCGGCTTCCACTTCACACTCACATAGGTGATTTCTAACCGTGTCGTTTCGTAGATACACTTTTTGGTCAAATCTACCAAACTTAGCGAATCAGTAAAAACTCAAAGATTTATTACCTCATTAACAAGCCTTAAAGTCTTAACCTTTTCCTAAACATTGTCTTCATCATGAGAATGAATTGAGTTAATTGACAATGTCGAACCGTCAGTCACAACTTTTTTTTCTCCTTGAATCTAGCTCTTGGGATCTCCAGTCTGCTAGATACTGTTACCGTCATGCTGACTTATCCTAAGCCGTAAACCCATTCCCTTAGATGATCTTTCAACTGCCTCTCTCACTAGGACTTTCGTTAGTGGATCTGACACATTATCGCTTGACTTTACTTATTCAATTGTGACAATTCCACTATAGAGCAGTTGCCTTACGGTGTTATGTCTACGTCATATATGTCGAGACTTCCCGTTGTACATAATGCTCCCTGCCCTACCTATTGCTGCTTGACTATTGTAAAAATGTATGCAAATTGGTCCAACAGGTTTGGGCCAGAATGGAATATCCTCTAGGAAATTCCGGAGTCATTCCGCTTCTTCACCAGCCTTATCCAAAGCAATGAATTCAGATTCCATTGTAGAGCGAGCAATACATGTCTGTTTGGACTATTTCTAAGAGAAAGTTCCTCCACCAAGTATGAATACATAAACACTCGTGGATTTTACATCATTTGACCCGGTGATCCAATAAGCATCACTATATCCTTCAATCACAGCAGGATATTTATTATAATGCAAAGCATAATGTTATTTCCATTTTAGATAACCCAACATACGTTTCATAGCCATCCAGTGAGTTTGATTCGGATTACTAGTGTACCGAATCAGTTTACTAATAGCACATGCTATATCTGGTCGCGTGCAATTCATAATATACATCAAACTTCCCAACACTCTGGCATATTCCAATTTAGAGTCACTTTGACCTTCATCCTTTTTAAATGTACAACTTAAATCAATTGGAGTTTTGACTATATTGAAATTCAAGTAATTGAACTTATCCAATACTTTTTCAATATAATGAGATTGAGATAATGCTAGTCCCTGGGGAGTTTTGATAATCCTTACCCGTAAGATCAAATCAGCAACTCCTAAGTCTTTCATATCGAACATGATGGACAACATGCGCTTAGTAGCATTTATATCGTCAATTTATTTACTCATTATTAACATGTCATCAACATACAAACAAACAATGACTTCATGATTCATAACGTTTTTAATGTAAACACATTTATCACATTCGTTAATCTTGAATCCATTTGCCAACATTATTTGATCAAATTTAGCATGCCATTGTTTGGGTGCTTGCTTGAGTTCATATAGTGACTTCACAAATCTGCACACTTTCTTTTCTTTACCAGGAACTATAAACCCTTTAGGTTGTTCCATGTAAATTTCTTCCTCTAACTCTCAATTTAAGAAGGCTGTCTTTACATCCATTTGGTGGATTTTAAGATCATGCACTGCTGCTAGTGCTATTAACATCCTAATTAATGTTATCCTTGTTACTTGAGAGTATATGT